TCAAAGCAAACAGACTTTCGGCAAGCAACAAATATGAACAAAGAGCAATTTTAGCCATAATAAAGGCCTAGGTAGTTAAGATCAGATAGAGTATAATAGTGGGTAAATAAAAAATTATTGTGAGGTAGGTAAGTGATATTTAAGTGAGGAGTGAATTCAAAGATCTGGAAGATTAGAAGCCGTAGAACAAGCTGACCTGTAAGATGCCTCACGAATTTCTGTAGGGCCCAACGGGTAGCATCTTGACAAGAAGCTGAAAAGGCTTGTAGATAGTAGGAGCCAAAGCACTTTTTTACTTATAATTAGATCTGTACAACCCTTATTATTTTTTTCTGAGGGTCCAGACTAATGTTTAATTCTCGAGCTGTCAAAAGATGCATGTTGCTGTCCTACAGATTGGAACGATTCACAATTGTGACCACTACCATATCTGCTGATCAGCATGTGCCACCCTCCCTCCTTTCGATGTTAAGCTCTGAGATATCTTTTGTCAATAGCTGTAGTTGTAGCATTGCATTGCTTTGAGCCCATCCCAGTCGTTCAGTATGCTGCGCGTTAATAGCTTTCATGACAAGTGCTTCCCATTAGGTCATCAGATACCTCGATACCTGAGGACATTCTTAGTAGTATCACCTTTATACATGCACACATGTATAGAAGTATTTGTTACAAACGCCTAGGAAATTGCGTTTACTTTAAGAAGTATAAAGTATAGAAGTAGCTGGCATTACGAGAACTAAGTTATAGTCTGTTTAGCAGAGTTAGATGGGTAGTGGAACAATTAGTGATAAAATTATGTGGGGTGATCCTGAGGAAAATATCTGGTTAACAGAACTAGTTATGTTGAATTTTGACGACCGATTTTATATGGTATGCGTCAGACATTGCAAAGTAACCCTTCAGCTTATGTCATGTTAAAAATACTGTGCAATGTTATAAAATTATAAGTTTTAGAAAAGTACATGAGAAAGGTAGTTATTGACTTGGTAAAGTAATTTCAACACAAAAAATAGCATTGTATTATTAACTCCATATATATGTAAATATTAAAAAGTGTGGTTGCTAATATAATTATTTCAAGAGTTACTTATACTAAAACAACTTCGTGAAGATTATTGAGAATATAAATCAGTAGATTAGTTAAACGTTCGCTGCGTAAGTAGTAGAGTCGAGTTATACGTTTGTGACTATACTGAAGATTGTACTGGCTTTCAATTTCCGTTGCACCAACAGTTCTGGTCTTTTAGACGAGCCAGAGTGGATATATGTGTAAAACTTGGGCACTGTGGTAGTAAGTAACTTCATATTAGTTTGTTTATTAGATATATCACACAGTGAAACAGTATTATTTACTGGATGACGTTTCGAACAAAATTTATTGTTCATAATCATATTAGTTATAATCACACGACTTTGACACTTGAGTTTTATAGTTTTCTTTGTTCTCTCCTATTTGTCGTATGAGTAGAGCTAGAGTGGACATGTTAATGTGTCTTTCTAGGTTCCGTTTGAACCCATCAGGGTTTTCACAAGATCTAATTTCAGATGGTAGTTGGTTTCAAAGAGTGCAATATTTGATGGTGAAAACGTTTGCCCTAATGGATTTTCTGTGGGCAGCCACCTTGATAAGGTAGTCGTGGTTTCGCAGCTGATATGATTTGATATTTTCCACGCTATGGATGAGTTACAATAACAATGTTTCTTAATGACTGTGAAGAGTAGAAATAAGTTGCACTTCACTCCCCTTCACCAGGGTTTCTAATTTTAGTCCTACACAACTGTAAACATATTCCACTTATTGGTCAAATCCTACTATGCGTTTCGTGAGGAATCTCTGGACATTTTCGACCTTTTTCGGTCTGCAGACCCTAGGTTTCGATACAGGGGAGCATGATATTCAAGTTTGGGGCGAAAACACGTCTTATAAAGCTAATCTTGCTTATGGGTGTAAAAGTTACGCAGCACAAAGCCAGCAAGTCGTTTACAGTCAGATACTACCTTATTTACATGATCGGAAAAGTTCTCTAACTGTGTTCAGTTTTGAAACGAGCTTACCGTACATACACTGGCACATTCTCGGCTTCCAGCGTCCAAGGTAGGCTATACCGCACTTATCTGTGTTGAAAGTCAGCTGACATTTTTCGCTTCAATAGCCCAGATTGTCTAAGTCATGTTGGACCTTGCTTTCGACGCTCATATTATCGTACCCATAATCATATACTATCTTACGATCATCTGAAAAGAGGTATGGCTTGCCATATTTGACCATAGAGAGCATGCCATTTATGAATAAGAGGAATAGAATAGGGCCGAGAGCGCTTCCTTGTATTACACCATTAGTTATTGGCTTTGGTGAAGATAGCTGGTGGTCGGTTTTGACTAATTTCTCTCTTTCTGCGAGTAAAGAATTTATCCATCCGAGAAGCCTTCCAGTTATTCCGTAGGGTTGTAGTTTTGTTGGGAGTCTGATATGTGGGACTTTATCAAAGGCCATGCTAACGTCGAGAAATTATGTTCTTAATGAGTGCCCATTATCAATGCATTGTATAATGTAGTCAAAATAATCTAAGTGGCAAGTAATGCACAACCTTCTACTTAAGAAAACGTATTGGGATGGGATAGTAGGTCATTTGACAGCAAGTACTGAATTATTTGAGTTTTTACTATCTTTTCCAATACACGTGAAACTATAGACGTGATGTTGATGTGGCGGCAGTTGTCGATTTCAGCTATAAGCCCGTATTAATGGATAAGTACAATATAAGACTTCTTCCAGCAGGTAGGGTACGTCCCTCCGCTAAGTGAAATTGAGTATAACTTGAGTAGGAGTAAATTCATGTCATTACCACTGTTTTTCAGCAGAATGGAAGAAATACCATCTGGACCAATAGTATTATTAAGCTTAAGATTTAAGATAGCCTTATCGATATCTTGTGTGTTGACAAGTATGTCACTTAGAAATTTGTCTGTTTTACGAGGGAAATCCACGACCTAACCGTTCTCCAAGGTGTATATTTTGGCAAAGTGTTTGCTAAACAGTTCCCATATCACCTCGGTATTCTCATAAGTAACGCTGTCTAAGCATATTACTTTTGGATAAACTGTTTCGGAGCTTGTTAACCTACTTTTGAAAAGTTTGGCTATTTCTCCTGAGTTATGCGGTGGCTGAGTGGCCCTCATTTCTTTGTTTCTATATTTCTTAACTCTTGAATTCTAGTGAGAAGGGACGTTATAGCATTTGATGATGATAAGTCATGATATCTGTAGTATTTTATTGAGTTTTTCCGTAGACTTCTCCTTAACAGTGTCGGAATATAATCGCTTTAGGAGAATTTGAAGGTAAGAATCTTCTCAGGTGCAATGACATGATGAACTGAGTTAATATATTGATAAAAATTGTTAAGAGTTGACTCTAAGGACTCGTTCGGAAACTACGAGTTCCAAATTGAGCATCTGATTAGATGCTGACACAAGTTTTTACCAGTGTGCATAATCTTACAGGTGTCTGGTAAGCTTCATCTCTGCGTTTTGTTTCAGGAAAGATGTTAAAAGAGCACACTACTATTTTATGGTCACTACCTGAACATTCATGTCCCACATGTACTGTAGATGGTGTTATTTTGTTCGTGAAAATAGGGTCTGTGATATTTGCGGATCTTGTGGGTGAATTTATGTGCTGTGTCCACCCTCCCGTGACGGCAGAATTCAGAAGATTATCAAACCTTTGGGGTCCTCGGAGTGAAGGCCATGATACTTCTGGCTTGTTGAAATCACCTCCAATAATTTTACAACTGAAGGGAAGACTGGCTGTGATATTAAAAATGTTGCTGAGCACATTATCATACTCCCTGCTGAGTGAAGGGGGTCAGTGCACACAACCCACAAGTATAGGTTTACTTCTGACAAATTTTATTCCGACCCAGATCGAGTCATTGAGTTGTGACAGAATTGGGTTACTGAGCTGGTTTGTACATATGAATTGTCCAGTGTAAATTAGTGTTCCACAACCACGACAGGTGTGTCCGTCCTCTCGAGAAAGGCTTAAGTTATCAGTTCTTAGGTTGTCATTGAAGATTTCACTTGTGCACCAGGCTTCAGTGATCATAATCAATGATGGGCCGCATTTGTATTATTCTTTTTGATTTTGATTACAGCTTGATTCCACACCGTATTTTCGGTACAAGTATGGAATTCTCAGCATGCGATATCGGTAGCCCAAATTTTTCAGGCCGACCATAGATATCGGGTGTGCGTCGACAGGGGATCGAACCCCGGACCATTTGCATGGTCGGCGACAGTCCTAACCACTGTTCCACCGACGCTTGTGTACTTAGTGTTAAGTGCTTGTTTAGAACTGACCTAGTATTTACTAGGATAATAGACAAACACTGTCTACGTGGTTTTGGTCAGTGGACAACATCTTGATAAAATATTCTGTGATTATCCTCTATTTACATGTTTTAAGACTCACTAACCATTATCTTTGGATCATAGGAAGACTTCATGAAGGCTTGTGAGGTGGTATGCATAGTGTCTTGTCGAAGATGCTAGACGCGTAATCGGTTTCTAAGCATTAGTTGCCTCTGCATTCCAGAAACTTTAATGCCTCGTTAAACACGGCAGTGGCTTCTTTGATACGTATCTCACTTGTGATTCAGCAGTCATCATACAGCAAGTTTCCCGAAGGCTTGTAGTAGAGTCTGTATGCTGTAGGGCTTAAGTTGAGGCAAATGTTCTAGAATAAGCGCTTACAGCTGTCACACTGCATGCCGGTGACGATTTAAAATGGCAACGTTAGTCTTCCGCAACCACTTTTCCATGGACATATTTTTCAGAATGATATACACCCTTTTCAAAGTTCGCGCGAAACACTTGAGACACTGTAGCACAACATAAAATGTTAATATTATCTAATAAAGTAGAAAAAAATGGATGTTTTTATTTGAGAAAGTCACAGATTATTTATTTTGTATATATTGGACATTGAATTGAAATGTAAGTAGATTTGTTTTTTCTCCTCGGAGTACCGCGAGAAACGTAGAAATTGCCGGGATGGGTGAATCCGTGAACAAGGTAAGTGTTTTTCGATAGTAAATGGTCGTTTGTACGCATGATTATTACTAAGCTTTAATTACTATGTAGGATGCATCAAGTGAGCATATCAATGTCAAAGTTCAAGGGCAGGAAGGGTCAATCATCCACTTCAAGATAAAGAAAAATACCCCCTTACGGAAGTTGATGATGGCTTATTGCGATCGACTGGTTAGCATTCATCAAAACAAGGCTAATTACATTTCAGGGTTTAAAACAACCTACTGTACGATTTATTTTTGACGGAAATAATATTCATGATACTGACACTCCTGCTTCGGTAAGTTCTTTAATGACTTAATATTAATCCTTTAGTTGGACATGGGAGAGGATGACACTATTGAAGTTTTTCAGACACAAACCGGTGGCCTTTAATCGTGAGGTCACACCACAGAATTATGTATACATTTCTGCATTGTTTTTGGCTCATCCATAAACGATGATGTACTTGTCAAATTTTCTATTACGCATTTCTCAATATCATAATCTATGAAACTATATAAATACACGTCTGTTTTGATCATATGGATATTGAGGTACTTAGCTGAATATGTTATAAAGTCACATTGTACTCTTGTGGTTGGTGTCAGAGCGTGTAATGAACTGGTAGTTATCAGATTGACGTGTGACTGTCATCTGCATTCACTGTGTGTTTGGTATAGTGTCAGGTTTCGGCCTGAGTTAGTAGTAATAATGCTAAGTTATTCTTCATCCTCTTAAATGGATTTAGAAAAAGTCATCCGCAGTATTGTAAGTAGCCATGAAGTACCGTTCTGACATTTTTCGAACTGTCGCTATTGTTACTGGCTTAGACTGACGAAATCAAAAGGAGCGCAGCAGATGTTATGTTTGGATTTTTGTAGAAAAAAGGCCGAAATATAGTCACTAACGAGTTGTCTACATCATTATGGGGGGGGGGCAGGTGAGTAAGTTGGAAAAGCATAATAATGGTATAGATATAATCCTATATTGAAGAGCTGACTTCTTTTTTCCCTGTTATTAGTCAGAGGGTTAGTAAATTCCATTAGGGTTGTGTGACTCCACGACAGCCAAACTGAAAAGGTGACTCTCTTGGGTTCCGAACATGAGTTCACGAAGCTACTTAGACATAAAATAACTAGAAATCTGCGTAACGATTGCGAATGAAGGTAAGCTACGAGAGTGCAGTAAAATTTTATTGGAAACGACAGCAAGTATTGCCTATTATTTGTCTAGTCTTATTAAGGAGGCCGATAGTTAGAAGCTCCGGCAGGTGAAACGGTAACCGAAAGTTGAGTGTTTCGATAGGGCAGCTGTATTTACCTGCAATCGCTTGCTCGACCTGGGTGGGCTCTGAACTGTCTGAAATCTATAGTCGAAATTTAGTGACTCATTAAATAAGGGAATCTAAGCTGCAGGGCTTTGTGCTTTGACTCAAGAAAGGTTTTCGTGTAGGAGTTATTAATTACCTGATAGAGTACCTAAAGTGCAAGTCATTGTTTGGTAATCCAGTATAATTCTGTCACACTGGTTGGGGCTCCAGTTTAGAATCGAAAAACCTCTGCGATAACTGAAGGACACTAACTTAATACTATAGGTCCCATAGTCCTGCGGAGAAGTAAGCTGATGGAAGACAAACTCTGAGATACTTACGTAAAGACAGCGCTTTGAGTAACCACTAGGTTTCTGATGGAAATTTATTACTGCGTGACGATAGAGGATACTTGCGCATGCTTTCAGTACATATAGCACCTTGGTTGGTAGGTAAGCAACTTAACAGAATCGCACAAGCACTGATATGTTTGGTTCATAGATCAGGTGATGATTCACTTCCCCCGTTGGCTAATTAGTGTTAGGTATAGCTGATGATAGTCTCTATTCAGATTTTTGTATTTCACAACAACGGCACATTAAGTGATGGGTTCAAGGGTTTCTTGATTTTCACATATTTTCTTCCTACTGATCACTAGTCCCCTTCAGTGGAATAGTGTTCAAAGGCATGCGGACGAAGTCTGTTATGGGCAGTCATTTCGCCACATACAAGTTTCATTTATTCGGTTTACAACGTAATCATTTATTCTTCAAGGTGTCTCCCTGTTGTATTGACTGACTGACTGGTTTCAACGTAGAACTTTGCACCGATGTGCAGCAGTTCGAGTCACCACATGTAGCACACAAAGCAAGAGAAGAAATGCAAAACTGAGATAGGCAAAAAGAATAATAATATGGGAGAACCATATAGTTTTATTGTATAAGTCACAAGGAGTGGATGTATCTGCGCTAGCCATCGAGAACGAGGATTTTGAGCCATATCTCCAATTGTCTCCAGGGGCCATAGGTTTCTACCGTCCCGAGAACCCCAACTAGTCAGGAAGTCTACACCTTCCTACGTGGCTAGCTTAAACTAACTGTTGTGGATTTCATTGACTGATGAAGCCATGTTTTGGTTTGACCACTGCTGGCTCTTTTCCAACGTGACCTTATGTCAGCTAACATTGCCTGTTGTCGAGGAAGGCGATGGCTAGGCATGTTGTATTAGTAGTAACAACAAGGTTTTATCCTTTGGTTTTCGGCAAAGTATGTTAAGTTCGCTTTGTGCACCACCATTCCTACAGTATCTGATAAGTTTATTAGTGTTCCGTTCTGCGTAATTCTTTCGTAAGTAAGCAGCATTACGTGGATATATATTGAAGTACTAGGTGAATCTCATTGAAAGATGTGCGAAAAAATCTGTGGTTTCATTGAACCAACATAGTCTCATCAATAATTACTGATATAAATGGTTTAAACCTTGCATAGTTTCCGAATTGGTTAGTAATTTGGGAAGTCGGCCTATGAAATAGTACACAAAACAGGCTTGGTAGCTTCCTTCTGAAGATTTCATGAAACTAACATACGGTACAATGAAGTTGGATACTACGTGGTCATTCATCCTAAGAAGCGTCGTAAAGGTAATTTCTGAAATAGCATGATTTCAAGTACCACCGAGTAGATTGCTAGCCAGAGTTATCTAAAGGTGTATGCAATTTTTCTCTTGTCGGTATATAATAGTTGGTATCCTCAGATTTTACGGATTAGCAGGATTTCCGTCTTATGTGATTGTGGAAAGTGTAGTTGTTGGTGGAAGGCTTGTCTTCAGCGTTCGTCTGTCTCAAAATTCGCAGTCTCATGAGTCATGTGCTACAAGGACTTTTTTCGAAGACTTGTATACACAAAGATGCATCAAGGTCTCTAAAATGGAGGGGTGGGGGGTTCATTGTATGCTGGATTCGGTTACTCAGCCTATTGTCTTCAGTTCAGTCTTAAATATACATGTGTAAGTATTATGAATGCAATCGGTGGTCTCATTGTTTGCTGATTAGAAAAAGTTACACAGTCACTCTCATGGACAAATGTCTCAGATTCTCGAATTATAGAAGTCATACCGAAGCTTATTAGTAGGTCTCTTGTTCGCTTTTTTCTCCTTTTGCATCCCGAGTGGAATGCAGGGCTTCAAGGAGGTTTCAGTAGCGGTGTTGCTTGTTGCAACAGGGTGGGATTGTTAGTCTTATGGTCGACCTTCCATCCTTACCAGGCTTACTATCAATCAGTAAGCTAGGTAGGGTTCAGAAATGTGTCTATCGGAAATTAAACCTGAACCGCCCACGTGGCTGGGGAAGTAGGAGCAAATATGTTCCGGGAAAGGCCTTCACTGTTTTATCAGTGTTTGAAAGTATTTACAAATTTAATGATATCGAGGAGGAGTTTGGTTCATAGATGAGGAGCAGATGTATTCGTCACTGCTATTTCTTTTATTTGCAACTCTATATTGTCACAGAGAACAGATTCAATAGAATAATGTGTAAAAGTTAAGCACTGTGGTAGTATGTAATTGCATATTAAATTGTTTATTCGATAAGTGGTGGAGGTATGTAGGTGAGACATTCACCGTTATTTCGAATTCAGGACAAACAGATTTTTTCAACACATCATTTCAAAGGTGGAGGCAATTCAAATCACTTATGAATTAGAAAGTCAGGAAGGCGAGCTTCCAATGTAAAAAGGAAAGAAAATGGGAGGTTAAACACTAGTGTTTACAGGAAACCTACACATTCAAACAGATATTTGGACTACCGATTATCCCATCCTATGTCAGTGAAAATAGGATTGGTGAAATGTTTAAATAACAGAGCACAAAAACTAAGTAGTACCAAAGAAAATCTAAAACAGGAACTGATACACATAAAAGAAGCTTTGAAACTTAATAATTACGCGGATAAATTAATCAAGGAAAATGTAAAAATAAAATAAATAATAATGGTAATGACAGTAATAATAATAATATTAATGACGACATGCATGTCGAAAATGTAGACGGCAATGACAACACCGACAACAGGGAATTTTAATCATCAGTAGTACTTCCATACAAAGAAGGAACCTCGGAAGCCAGCTTACAGAGAATTCTTAACAGTGCAGGAATAAAAGTGGCTGGCTTTCAAACCACCCACTAACTCAACTAGAAACAAGTTTTGTCGGTTAAAGTATTCTGTCGGTGGAGCCAATTATACAAAACAATTTAGTTTGTCTAATAACCTGCTGGAATGATGGCCAGGTGGCATACATAGGTGAAAGTAGTATAACGGGGTCAGTCAGACTAGCAGAGCAAAAGAGCTTAGCAAAATCTAGATTAGTTGACCCTAATAAGATAAGAAATCTGGAGAATAGTTCAACTATAGCCCTGACTACATGTAATTACCCACAAGGATACAATAGGATGATGGGATAAGATGACAGACAGTTTTAAAATCTAATGTAACAGGGTGGATGGAGTTAGTGGGATAACGGAAGCTTTATTTATCGAATCAACTGCGAATACGTGTAATAGGAATGATTCAGCACCTGTCCGCCAGGACATCTGGAAAATTCTACTACCCTTACGAAGAATAGGAAAGAATAAAGAAAACTGTGAAACGGGAGTTTCGAAGTCGTGTGATTAAAATTGATTGATACGATTATGAACAAGAATTAATTGTGTTCGAAACTTTGTCATCCAGTGAATGGCAATACTGTTTCTTCACTGTGTGATATATCTAATAAGCAAATTAATATGGGCGTCGGTGGCATAGCGGTCAGGACGCTCGCCGACCATGCACATGGTCCGGGGTTCTATCCCCGGCAGGCGCACTCCCTTTACCTCGCTCAGCCAGAACTAAAAGGTGGTGAAGAGAAAAGGTTGGGCATGAAGCTAGCAACTCCATCCTGTAAAAATAAACACTGCTACAGAAACTTTAAGCGTCTAGCTTGGAGCCCTATGTTCCACTGGGAACGTGAAGGAATAAAAAAAATTAATATGGAGAGATTCAATAGAGTGATATATATTCACCTCCTATGATTTCGCGGACTCTTTCCAAACGCCTACAGCCTGAACAATAAAAAGATATAATTTACAAAACCAACAATGTAAAAATACTTTCCCCATAATGACAATGACTAATTGTAATAGGAACCACAAGTAACATGAGTCTGCAATAGTGTAAGAGTTAAAGGGCCTAACTACTTATAGAATAA